AGTGTGAGTGAGTGCGAGTGTGAGTGAGAGTGAGTGTGGGTGAGAGTAAGTGTGCGTGAGAGTGAGAGTGTGAGGGAGTGTGAGTGAGACTGAAGGTGGGTGAGTGCGTGGGTGAGTGAGGTGTGAGTGTGAGTGCGAGTGTGAGTGAGAGCGAGTGAGAGTCTGCGAGTGGGAGTGAGTGGGTGTGAGTGTGAGGCGTGTGTGAGTGGGGGTGGGAGAGTGAGTGAGTGTGTGAGGGAGTGCGAGTGTGAGTGAGAGTGAGTGTGAGTGGGAGTGAGTGTGGATGAGAATGAGTGTAAGTGAGATTGAGTGAGTGTGAGTGCGAGTGGGAGAGTGAGTGTGAGTGCGAGTGTGAGTGAGAGTGGGAGTGTGAGGGAGTGTGAGTGTGAGTGACAGTGGGAGAGTGAGAGGGTGAGCATCTGAGCCACGAAATCTGCACTTTGAGGTTCACCAAGTGCTGTGTCTGCCACGAAATCTGCACTTCGAGGTTCACCATGCGCTGTGGGTGCCACGAAATCTGCACTTCGAGGTTCACAAAGTACTGCCCTGCCACGAAATCTGCACTTCGAGGTTCACAAAGTGCTGTACCTGCCACGAAATCTGCACTTCGAGGTTCACAAAGTGCTGTACCTGCCGCGAAATCTGCACTTCGAGGTTCACAAAGTGCTGCACCTGTCACGAAATCTGCACTTCAAGGTCCACCAAGTGCTGCACCTGCCACGAAATCTGCACTTTGAGGTTCACCAATGTGCTGCGCCTGCCACAAAATCTGCACTTCAAGGTCCACCAAGGAGCAAAACCATCGACGCGCCCCCTCTTTTTCACCTCTCACTTTGGCTTTCATCGGCTTCAGCTGCACCTGTTTTTTGCTTTTCCCCGGTGCAGGCTCAATCCTTCGTGGTGACCGCAGCAAACTTCCCACAGGCAGGACGTAAGACGTGCAGCGGGTCTCGGTCTCGGGTCTCAATGGGGGCGGCAGTCCGTCCTGGCAGTCCTATGGAGTGTTTGAGACGAGAGGTCATCGAAAGACGTCTTTCATGTTCTTCCCGAGGTTGACACGAAGATCCGGTGCCAGGCAGACCAGGTACATCCGACGATGAGAAGGAGATGTTCAGAGAAGTGTAGAAAAATATGTGGCAGCCATCCCATCAGGAAAAGACCATCGTGCCATTCGATTCGGAACTCAGTCTTGACGTGACATATCTTGATCGTACCAGGACCCTCCAGGGGGTGCCCTGTCTGGAGACCTGTAAGTAAGGTAGGGCAGTCTATTGGACACCCCTTGGAGGGCCCTGGTATAGGTTCTGTAGATGGGAATTGTTGTGATCCAATAGATCAGAAGACGATCCCAAAGCCGACCGTTCCCCGCACCGCCATTTGGTCAACTTGTTGGGTCAATGGCAACCACTTAGTTCCATGAGTCCACGGTTCCACTGCATGAAAGACGATGGCTGGATGGTAAACCAATGGTAAATCCATGTAACGTGGTGGGGGGCAAGCACAATTGGAACTGACTTGTGTAGGGATCTACTCGAAGAAGAAGAATCACAAATAAAAAGACCTCTACATCCAGCAGTCTCCCATCCAGCAGTCTCCCCAGCCAGTGCCAAAGGTTCCCCACACATCCCCAGGTTGATGCATACTTCATCATACCTTCAGGTCCCACATCCATGTCTATCCATATCCTCAGGTGACCGGTGGTTAGACCTGCGCGGCACCCACCCCCAACCATCTTCGAAACAAAGGGGGGCGGCTCTGGCCGCCCGTACGGGAGCCCTAGGGACATCGACTGTCTCCGGTGTTTCATCACGTCGACGGTGCCTTTTTGCCGAGGTACCATCCATGGCCGAGGCGCAGAAATCGACGGTTGGCCACTCGCGTGATCCCCCCATCCCAGACACGACCTGTCTGGGACTGCCATATTTTGCCTACACTGGGGTTGGTGGGGTTGCGGCAATGGGGCGGCATATATGGCATGCAGTATGGCTCATGCATGGAGTGTTTGGGCCATAACTCATGTAGACGCTCGATTCAGCAAACTCCCCATATGGTATTTTTTTACCTTGACGGGACATGCAAGTCCCTTCTCTTGATTTGTAGCTTAGACGCTCAAGACGGCTTAAGATGCATTATAGGGATGTAATATTGTGTTTTGTCCTACTACCTGTAACAGTCAGTAGACTAGATAAAGGCCTTTGCCAACCATCATCATCCACTGTTGGGATAGGATCATATGAATCTACCCAAACACCTGCCGCTCTTTCTTTCAAGATTTCGGTGTAGTCCGGGGGGTGGCTGTGATGGACTCGTCTGCATTCTCCTGGTCTTTTCCTCCACATTCCATGTGTGATCAGGGTCCATGTTAGCTGTTTCTAGAGGGGTGATGGTGCATGTAATTCCCTGATGACCTCTTATTGATACGAATATGAGGATCCCTACACCTCCAAGTGCCTTCTCAGAAGGTATTTGGACCCTCCGAACTCCGCCAGGTGGCTGCGCCCATGGCAGCGACCGCCCAGTTGGACCGACCTTTACTGAAGCTAATCACACCATGAGGTTTTCAAGGACCCAAGACTGGACCTGGGTCACACTGGCCCTGTCTCCCCCCAGTCATCAAATCAATCAAGCGGGGAGGCGGGACCCTCTGTCCTTGCACGTGGATCCTCTTTTCGAGGAGGAGGGATGAATTCCTTGAGGTGACCACAAGGGTCAGGAGGAGGAATGATGTGGTAAACCGGTCTTTGAATAAAACGTGGACACCCGCTCCAATGAAGACATGGACACATCGCGAGTCGCTGATACTGTTCATGGATGTTCACGGACACTCCGCCTCCGGTGTTCTTTCGACTTCGGTGAACATGAGTTGGAAGGAAGATATATTCACTTATTAAGTTTGTGGTGCCTCAGAGGGTCTACATCCCATCCCCAGGTGTGGCATTTGATGTGTATTAGAATAGGGAGACGTCCAAGTTCGACCTCTGAGAACATTAAAGACCGCCTAAATCCATTGGTTGGAAGGTATTCCTATGAAAATACAAACCCAGGCCCATGTCCATGTACCTATAGATCATCCAACTGTGCAATTATGTTGCATAATTATAATTGATCATAAGTTTGCCCTTTCAGTAAAACAAAAAACAGACCCTCCTAAATCCCATGATATCCCATGTACTTTACCATCCAAGCACATCCAAACACCATCCTGACAAATTGCTGGTGCTTGGAGGTTGTTTAGTTTTTTTTTTAATCGGGTGACCTGGAAGGGTTGGATCCATGTGGTGTTATGATTTCTTCGTTTGAAGCACCAACTTCGACAAGTTCGTCCTCATCTCCTGAAAGACCACCGGAGATGAACATGAACATCAGGATGACCATGGGCCCTGCAGTGGGTTGGCTGACGCAACACGGATGGATGACCAACCTGGGATTCGATCAACCAAATTTTTTAATGGTCTTTGCCAAAGAACCATTGTTTTGCCATAATATGGCACTTTACACTACACCAGTACAGGCAATGGGGGACCATGAAAGACACCGGCAACCATGTTCCGGAGCGAGGCGAATCCAACGCTAGACATGCAGGCCGGCCGGGTCGACGGAGGTCGGACCAAGAATTCAATGATTCACCAGCACACGGGTGATGTGCTTTTCTATTTGTTTTGGACAAAAGGGAATTCAGTGATTCCATGAACATCCTGCTTCCTTGAATCCAGTCACTCCTTCGGAGCCGCTGGTTTCGTGCACGGGAAAATGAGCGTTTCCAACTAAACCGACGAAACGTGACATGAGATGACTAGTCAAGTCTAAGAATCCGGGCCCTCGAATGGAGGCTCCAAGGATTGTTTTGCTCAACTACTTCTGGGTGTCCAGCGGAATCCAACGGGGTCACTGTCATCAAACGCGATGTATCGGTGTTTGTCCCGAAACACGCGAGCGAAATCCGTCGGTCCAGGCGCCAGGTCGGTCTTGAGACCTCCAACAGGGCCTCCACAAGCCTCAGTTTTTTGGGAGACCGAATCAACAGAAAGGAGATGTCTGAACATCAACGGCCAAAGGGACTGGATGTGGAGACTGGAGGGTGATGAAGCAGATTGGACGATTTTGGACGATTTTGGGGACCAAGCGTTTCTGCCTTTGGACGCTTTGACCACTGCTGGCTTTCCTTTGGACGCCACCAGTGAAGTCACCGAGACTGCACTTGTGAGACTCGAGCACTTGTGCAGTGCAGTCTTCTTGCACTCTGCAAGCAATGCACGTTTTCTGAGTGAACTGGTTGTTTTCCTTCACCGTTCATGGTATACCTTCCACTGATCACCCTCAGAATCCGCTCAAACAGATAGGGTTTGGTTCGGGCCCTTTTCCCCCTGCGAAGAGGTCAGGCCCGACCCCTGCAAAGAGGTTGAGCCCAAGGATTCTTAGGGTGGATCATGTATGATACTGTATCCACTCTCCTTTTTGCACACGAGCTCAGTGGAACCACCAGCTCAACCAACGAACCAACTTCCGCGTCGACCAAAGGTCTGGTGCCCAAGGCCGGCGTGTTTCGTTCCGAACAAGCGAGGGTCACTGGGAGAACTGATGCTGTTCGCTCCAGGATACTTAGCCCTAGGGATCCACCCTCCAAGCCTACATAAATAGTCTCCAATCACCGTACCTGAGGTTCGGTTAGTACTGGATCCCTAGGCAACTGTACAGAACTCAATGTGACCCCTGTGAACAGACCGGACGTTTGACGCGCGATGTCCGCCAGGGCCGACGGCCCGGTCTGGGCCTCCGGAACGGCGCGATGTCCGGCCATCACGTGCGACGGCACGAGGCGCACGGGCCCAGGGAGGACCGGACGTTGGCCTCCACCTATAGTAGCGTTCTTGTTACTAGTAGCGATGGTCTCCAACCTAATTGCGATGGCCTCCACCTAGTAGCTTTCTTGTTACTAGTAGCGATGGTCTCCAACCTAATTGCGATGGCCTCCACCTAGTAGCTTTCTTGTTACTAGTAGCGATGGCCTCCAACCTAATAGCGATGGCCTCCACCTAGTAGCTTTCTTGTTACTAATAGCGATGGCCTCCAACCTAATTGCGATGGCCTCCACCTAGTAGCTTTCTTGTTACTAGTAGCGATGGCC